CCATAGAGCCTCAAATACAACCAAGAACCCACAATCCAGAAGTCAAAATATGGAAAAACAACAACACACTAGAGAAACCCAGAGAAGAACCAAAATCTACCCCATAACATAATTCAAAGAAGTTGGTGTTCAAGTGAAACTTGCACAACCCAACCAGAGGTAGTCTAAACTACACAAAATCTGCCCAAAACACATTCAATTGCCAAAAGGAGCAAAACTTGAAGTCGAAACAGTGACCAGAGGCCAAAAACGTCATTGTCAACTGGTTCTTTAGGCCAAAATCACCCAAAACCAATTGGCCAACGCACACACCAATCTCCTAGTTGCATCCGTGAGGTAGGATTTGAAGCATCAAAACCACTCAAAAAAGATGGAAAGATCAAGTCTCAAAATCGGACCTAAAGCTATCAGTCTAACCACAACGTTCCCCAAAACACCCAAACAGTCTATCCACCACAAGGGTTGCCCAAAAACCAGACACGCGAGCGATAAACCCCAAAAAATAGATGGGTCAACCACAAACACATTCTAAGGTTTTAGTCGTACCCCTATTTCTCAAAACTACAACCCAATCATAATTAAGTTAGAACAAAGATTATAGCCATGAGACAATCGCAATCTCACCAATGAAGAACAACAATCACAACCAAAGGAATACAACCACCGGTTATAATACCTCCTCAAGATATGATTTAGGATCCAAAAAACCTTATTAGAACCGGTCAAAGTTTCACAATGAATAGTGACTAGCGGTGAATAGTAACCAATGGTGAACAAGAACAATGATGAACCGTACCAACAATGAACAATGGTAGAGAAGAGAAGAAAAAAGTGGGGAAAGAGAAGGACCAACTATAACAGATCCTCTGATAATAAGTTAAAACTCAAATAATGAAGTATTAAGGTTTAAGATTAGGAGAGAAGAAAAAAAAGAGAAGAGAGAGAAAGAGATTGAAAAAATACTGTGTAGGATCAACAATTGCCTATTGGGCAACATAAAGGAAAAAGACGAAATGCAAAATATTATGCCTCTCAAACTAGAAACTGGACTATATTTTTGGTTAATTGGATATCATGAGTTCCAGCATCACTAAAAATCAATAGATTAGGAGACTGATCAAATAATAACAATGACCTAACTTCTAAAATCAACTAAAAGATGAGATCATTTATAAGTAAAAAACAATAGCTCTACATTGCAGTTAGCAAGATGCGATTTAGGAACTCGTTAAAAAAAAAAAGATGCGATTTAGGAGCTTCCAAAGCCATTAATGGTTAGTCTAGTTAGTGAAAAGATAGGAGAGAAAAAGATAAAGATAAAGATAAAGAGTATGGTTCTTTAAAAAATTTAAACATTTTGTACAACTTCACCATTTCCCGATTCGTCAGAAATCAAATTGAAGCCCATGAGAACCATGCGTATTTATCGACATATCATTTTCCACCAAAATATGGTTATAAAAATAAGTGGGGGCCTTCATCTTTGCTTATCAAATCTCTTCAAATTTGATTTGTTAAGTACCTTGGTTATCTTTGATTTTGTAGATAATAACACTACACTCCTCTATGTTTTGATGGTGTATAACAGATTCCCCCAGCTGTTAGCGTTAGTTTTATGTTAAGAGAACGATAATACTCTGATGATGTAAGAAACAATTTTACAAGAGGTTCCAAAATTACCCTTCTCGACCACATGCATTTTGAATGAGCAAAATTTTGACCAAGTCATAAGGGATGCACTTGTAGCATTTGTCTAATCTTTGACAAAAAATGGGATGGCTAACTCAAATTGTGTTATAGAATGGATCCTTCCCTCCCTAGGTATCCAAATAAGTAAGAAAATTCTACTTTAAATCCCCATTTCAATCATCATTCTTCATCATTCTTTACTCTTTTCACTTTCCCATTTTAATCGAAATGTTTTCTTCCAAATTGGAAAGCCTAACAAAGAAACAAAGGCTTCCATGAATTTATGGGCAACACCACAAGCTCTTCTGTTTTATTGAATATTGAATTGTCATTCTAGTTATACACAACTTTACAAGAAAAAAAAAAGAAAAAGAAAAAGAAATTATTAGAAAAATCAGTAACTTTCATTCTCTCACCATCTTTTGTATCTCATGCTTTTCAAAAACACAGTCAAATCTGGACTACCACCAGAGACCTAATCTACCAATTGAAACCACCACAATTACTAGAGCCACCACCATTACTGAAACCACAAACCCAATTTTAGAGAACTATCATCCACTCACCCACTCACCCACACCAAATACCCAGCAAGCCATCCCTCCCCCTCTAACACTGACAACAATCTTTCCGACCACCTAAAACAACCCATCCATTCAGAGGCCCTTTGTAGTTGTCGACCCCACCGTTACCAACATAGATCACACTTCCTCACCTTTCTCTAATACTTTCTCTTACGCAACATAATGATGCAGAAAAATACTTAAATCAGTTGTGAAATGTTGTTTATAGCAAGAATCAACAACTTTTAGTGAATTTCCAACAATAAGATAACAAGAAAAAGCATTAATATGAATTTCTAGGGCAGATAGACCCAAGAAAGACAGAAATTATGATCTTCTGGAATAAGAAAAATAAAAAAAAAAACTACTACAAAGGCTAATAAAGAGGTATAAATACTAGGGTTGAAGCAGCCCTAGCAACCTAGCCCTTCGTTACTCAATAAGTCCTTAATCCTAGGCATCCAAGACAATTAAAAACTCACATTTTTAAAAAGACTAGGACCACAAATATTATCTATAAGACTAACATAAAACATAAAATACTGTTGAAAATTAAAAGGTAACTAAAAAATCTACTAAATAGAGCTTAAGTTAAGCCTATTAGTGGGCTCACTTGTTCTTGATAAGCCTCTTGGATGCTCCCGTATCTACCCCTCCTGGTCGGACGAAACTTGACTACCCTCATAGATAGGTTCCACTACTTCCTCTTCCTCATCTTTAAGCTCTATTAAGTTAACTCTTTATTGTGTACATGTAAAAGATGCGTCTTTTTTCTCCACAAGTGAAACAATGAATCTGTGAAGCAATTCCAATCTTTGAACTGTTTACATCAACAACATATTTTTCATCAAACCATGCAATTGTCTTTCCTTTCTCACCTCTATCAGCCACCCCATTGCTTCTACCACATGTCTGGTTAGTTTTAACAACCCCACAATCAAATTTTGAGGCTAGTTGTTCACTCCGAACATGTCAGGCATCAGTTGTGTTTCTCTGTGGTGCAGCATCAACACATGCAGATAATGGTCTTCTTGAACTATAGCGCCACACTTTCTTTTAAGTCATTAAGGTATTTTGTTGACAATCTTGGAGGTTGCACATACGAACTAGTACCCTCTCATACCAATTAGTTTAAGCCCGAATGATAATGAGAAGTCAAATGTTCATTACTCTTGTTTAAACTAACCGAATAAAGACATTGTTGAACTTAGATTTATACTCCTCCACTGCCATGCCCCTTTGTTTCAAACGATAAAATCTTCATATAGCTCAATTGCATAATCAGGTGGCAAACATTACGTCCGCATCTTTACCATCATATGTTTCTATGTGCACATTTTTCGTTTGCCTTGTCGATATTGTTGCTCCTTCACTCACTTCCACCATTGAAGTGTAATACCCTTTAATTTAAGCTTCACAAATAGCACCTTTCTCTTTTCAATCATAGGTTCCACTCACAATAGGTCTACAAACTAGCTTCTCAATCCAAATAATCTTTGGCATGCATCTTTTCAAAAAAATCGGCAATCTCAATTTTATTTCATCCGCCATTCAAATCAAGAGCACACACTAATCTCTCTACCAATCCACCCCGATTTGGATTGTCTACGTGCTCGATTCCATGTAAGAGATTCTCCTCCTCTAATTCGTCATCATCCTCTAGACTACCTCCTGGTAAGTCAAAAGGGTCACGTTACCTTCTGGAATCTCCATACGGGCTTCTACTCATTTCCATCGTTGTAGCATTTGTACTGCTCGAAACAAATCTTCAATCATACGCCTCATCTCAGTTTGTTAGAACAGGTTTCCTCTTCCACCACGACCTTTACCTCATCCGGCCATGAAATAAATCTAGGGTTCTTATGCTCTAATACCAAATAGATGCTGCAAAATACTTAAATCTGTTGTCAATTGTTGTTTAGAGCAAGAATAAACACCTTTTAATGAATTTTCAGCAATAAGATAACAAGAAAAAGCATTAGAATCTAGGACGTAATAAGAACATATGAATTTCTTGGGCAGGGAGACCCAAGAAAGATAAAAATTTTAGATTTTCTGGGATAAGAATAGGAAAAAAATTGTTGAAAAGACATACAGAGGTATTATACCAAGGTTACAACAAGCCTAGCCTCTAAGCCCTTGGTCACTTCAATAACTCCAAGATAATTAAAAACTCACATGACTTTTTAAAAAAACTAGGACGATAAATACCATCTATAAACATAAAAGATAAAATACTGCAAAAAATAATAAGATAACCACAAAATCTGCTAAATAGAGCTTAAGCTAAGCCTTTTAGTGAGTTCGCTTGATCCTAATAAGTCTTTTGGATGCTCCTGCATCATATACATTCATCCTAACCCCACCCACTTAAACTTCACCCATATACATTCATTCTAACTCTCCTTTTCTCTCACCCATATCACACTTGGCATGTTGGTCTAAGTTGTGATAATGGGGTGTATTATGGGTGTTCAGGGTAATGATTTGTGGCATGGAGGTCGGCTGGTTTGTGTTTGGAAGAGAGAGAATCACAGAGGTGTGGTGGAAATGATTAATCAACTAAAGGAGAAAGTAGAACAGTTTTGATGCCAAAATAGACACACATGTATAGGCAAGGTTGCCATTTCTGATCTTCCGTTTACTCAGTTGGACTTTGACGGATGTTACTAACCGGCGAGTGTAGTGTTATCCATACCTAAGGGGCTAGTTGTTGTTTGGACAAATCTCAGGGGCAGTGGATATAATTTATCCAATTTTAAACATAGAGTAAATAAACAATGAAGCAGATCGAAAAGGCCAGTAGAAACCCAAGCTGACCGATTCTTTATAAAGAGCAGCCTGCAATTGCACCAAGACTTGAACAAGAAGACTCATTTGAACGAAAAATCTTCTACTTCTAATAAAACGACTCTAAGTGACTAGAATCCCATGTACCAAGGATTCCTCAAGATGTTATATTACCAACAATAATTAATAATAAAGCACACTTAAGTAAATAAATAATTGTTGGCTTTGTTTAATCTCCAACATATAGTCACCTTTTCTTCAGCAGTGCTTTTGAGAAAACAGAGAAAAGCCCCTGAAAACTGGGTACCGCATGAGCCACTTCTCAAGTGAGCTATGCAAGGGCATTCTAATGCTTTTTGAGCCTTCACATCAAGTGACTGAAATGCAAACAATTGTTTTTATTCAGCAACAAAGGTACAGCTGGAAAATTTCAATTCTAAATCACAAAGAAAGATTTGATCTTCAAAGGTGCACCAACCTCATTCTCACCATCATTGCCAAATGCTGCAGCTTCTGTGGAGGCAGAAGAGTAGAAGTTTGTCAAATTTTGCATTAATTTGTGCAATTAATCTGTTTAGCAAAACGTAATGAAACTAAAGAAGTCATGAACCACAGGTTCATTCTTAAAATCAATGATGCATCAGAATACGATAATCCTATTGCTTGTGGTGGAACTGGATTCTATATCCACCACATCACTAGATCAATGATGGATCATATGACATGATACCAATGAGACAATGGGAAAATGCAGTCATTGAAGTCTAATTAGGAACCATCTTCTGAAGAAGAATTTAATTCTTATAGCTGCTGTTTATGAGGTATAAAATAGGACTTTTGTGGAGGCAATGCGTTATACTTGAAGAAACAAACAAAAACAAACAGATGGATCAATTTCCTTGAGAGCCATTTTTTGTATTCTTCTAGTTGGAGGAACAATTAATATTAAGGTCCTTCCACAGAGCTTCAGAGGGTGATGCATTTCTTGTAGATATAATTAGCAGAACAGCATCAACTATAAATGGGGAAATTTAGGACTACCTTTTTTATCACCCAGATTAAAGAGAGGGGGTGGTAGTAAGGTAACAGTTTCGTGCTGAAATTATTTGATGTGTATAAAGCAGAAACGAGGATAACACTCGATGAATATAACATTAACAAAGAAATAAGTCGAGAGAAAGAGACCAGCAATCAAGGATTCCATGGAAGCTGGCTGTGAATTGTCTCGGGCAGCGGAAGATGAGGACGTCGACGGCCTGCTTTCATGATCTACAGAGGCAGAGGCAGAGGCGGCGGCGGCCGGGGCGGCGACTTCACTCTGAACTTGTCCCATTTTCGGTTCTTATGTAATACTTCCTTCTTTTTTTGATAATGAACGATTTTGTTACGATGAAACGACACCTCGCCCCCTGTAGGGTGTCTTTCCTCTTCTTATTTGATATTTTATTAAAAAAAAATTCTTGATCTACTTTATTCGACCAACTATAATATTTCGATCAGACTTTTGGCCAAATTAATCATATAAGAATTCGTATGAATACTTTTATAAGTATTAATTTTTAGATTAATTTAACAATTCAATTAAATTATTTGCACTAATTTAATAATACAATAAATCAATATTAAAACAATTACAACAACAATTATTTTAAGTTTAAATTAAAGAAATTAGAATTTTTAATTTATATATATATATATATATTAGTGCAAATAGGAGTACGGTAGGAATACGGAAATTAATAGCTATTTTGCATTTCTACCCGATTTAATCAGAATACCAAAAACTCTTTCGCATTTCTATTCGATTTTTTCAGTTAACCGTTTCAATAGGTTCGGATAAAGTTAGATAGAATAGAAAATTGCGGCTAATTGAAAATTTGAACACGCCCTATCGCCCTGCATTACTCTACAAACTTATATTTCATTGCTCTTCAATAAATCATCAAAATTCTCATGAAATTTATTTTTTGGAACTGATCATACATTTATTCAAATAAAAGTAGTAATGTGCCACTAGTCTATTATTAATAAACAATATCTCAATTTTCGTCTATTGAAATCTCATGTGTCGTGCACGTGGTTTGAGAAAATTAATTTTTACGGGCCAAAATTCAACTTTAAAAAAACTTTCGAATTGTAAATGAAATTTATGAATTTGTATAGATAGAAATCCAAAGTCGTCTAATAGTTTGGGCATTGGTTGTATTTTTCAGCATTAAGGGGTCTATTTGAAACTTTTTTTATTTGTAGAAAAAAAATTAATAATTTTACTATGTTTTTATATATTGGTGCAACATCAATTAGCCGTAAATTTAAACCGAAGAGAAGAGAAGAAAAGGCATCAGAAACAAGTGAAAAAGAGTAACCAAGAAACATGGGGGAGAAAGACCTTCAATCAATCATAAATTTAAACCACAATACGAGACAAAACATTATGACCTTATTAAAAAGTGATAAAAAGGAAAGATCGAGTCATTATCGCACCTAAAATATCAATCCACACTTGATTAAACTCACGTCTACGAGGAATATTATTTTATCTATTTTTCTATCTGTCTTATTAATAATTAAGTTTATCTCAATTAACACTAAACCCAATCCATGGAGGTATTGTGTTAAAAATTTAGAACGTTAATGTTGATTTGAATGGTCTCTAACTATTGATAAAAAATTATAAAATAATAAAAATCTTAAAATAAAATAAAAAGTATACTAGCTTTAGTTTTTGCCTTAGATAAATTTAGATCGTTGATCATTGGTCGCTTATTTTAGTTTATATTGATCACTCTACTTTTAAGCATTTATTGTCTAAGCAGGATGCTAAACTGTGGCTTATTAGATGAATCCTCCTTCTTCAAGAATTCTATTTGATCATTAGAGATAATAAAAAAGTCGAGAATATGGTGGCCGATCACTTATTACAATTGATTTTTCAAGACACACAAGAGCACATATCTATTCCTGACACTTTTACTGAGGAGTATTTATTTTATGTTGTTACAGTTTGTCTCAAGTATGCTAACATTATAAATTTTCTTGTTATAGGATAGATACCCGTGTAGTGGAGTCCACTGGAGAAGAGGAAATTCCTAGTGGAGGTGAATAAGTTTTATTTTGATAACCATTATTTGTTCAAATAGTGTCTTCATCAAGTAATGAGGAGATGTATACCATATGGTGAGCAGCAAGACATCATCTCCTTTTATCACTCAGAGGCATGTGGAGGTCATTTTTCCTCCAAGACTGTAGCCAAAATTCTGCAATTTAGTTTATATTGGTCGATGTTTGTACAAAGATTGCTTCCTATTATGTAAGAGTTGTGAAAGGTGCTACAAATTAGGTAGTGTGACCTATAGGAATTTGATGCATCTCACCCCCATCCTTGTCATAAAAATTTTTGATTTGGAGCATCGATTTTCATGGAACCTTTTCCTATTTCTTTTGGTCATCTTTATATTTTGTTAGCAGTTGACTACCTATTAAAATAGGTACAGACAATTCTCACTAGGACCACTGATCACAAGGTTGTGATTAAATTTCTTAACGAAAATATTTTGTCTAGATTTGGGATGCCTAGGACTATGATTAGTGATGTGGCTTGCATTTTTGTAATAGGTCTTTTGCAACCTTGATGCATAAATATGACATTACACGTAAAGTGTCCGCCACGTACCTCTCATAGACCAATGGTGAAGCTGAGTTAGTAAAAAAAAATGATTAAACACATACTTGAGAAAATGGTTAACCCTAACCGTAAGGATTGGTCACTTCAGTTGACCAATGCTTTATGAGCATACCATAATGCATTAAAGACACATTTAGGTATGCCTCCTTATAGGATATGACAAGGCATATCATCTGCTAGTAGAAATGGAGCACTGTGCTTATTGGGTCATAAAGACCTTGAATTTCAATTTGGGTCTAATTGGAAGCTATAGGAAATTAAAATTGAATGAGTTGGAGGAGATACACAGAGATGCGTATGAGAGTATACATATTTATAAGGAAAATGTTAAAAAATTTCGTGATCAAGCCATTTTGAGAAAGACCTTTGAGTCGAGACAGAGGGTACTCTTATAAAATTCTCATCTTCACCTATTTCCCAGGAAGCTGTGAGCCCGTTGGATCAATCCTTTTGTGGTCCGCACCATTTATCCTCATGGGGTTGTAAAGGTAAAAAAATCCTAAGAATGACCAGACTTTTAATGTCAATGGCCAACGATTTAATCCTTTCTTAAAGGGTTTTTTTAGCTTAGGAAACCGGTGAGGAGCTCACTGATCCTAGGTATCAGGACCATCCATCTAATTAGTTTCCCTTGTTTTCTTTTGTATTAGTTAGGTAGTTTTTTTAGTTTTGTTTTCATTCTTTTGCTATGCTAATTTTTGTTTGCTTGTTTTGCAGTAGTTGTTTATAATAGGAGCTTTATCAAGGTGTTTTTCTTCCCTCATCTTTTTCATTTTCTTATTGCATTACTATTTATGCATTGAGGACAATGCATAATTTAAGTTGGGGATAAGGGTTATACTGCTTTATTTCTTTTTAGGACTACATATATAAAAAAACATTGTTTGGTTATTTTATTCTCTCTTATTACTTTGAAAGTTTAGATATTCTTCTTGAAGCTTGAATTGTTTGCATCTTAGCACTCTATTGGAGTTTATTCTATATTTAAGTAACATGTTTATGTTTTCATTTGAAACTCCAATTATATACACTACGATCATGTAATTCTTGTGATTTATTACATGAGATTTACATCTATAGTGGAGATGAATGTATAACCCATGTAAGTCTTGTGCCTAGCTTAGTTGGAGGGTTAAAATACATTTACTCAATCTCATTAAATAATCATTACTAGTTCTTTAATTCAATCTCATTAAATAATCTCGTCATATTTGTTTTGGTTAGAGTATATGAGGTGATTAGTTGGGTATATATCAAAATACGAAACAATTTGTCATGCATTTTTGAGAATTTATTTTAGGCCATTTTTTGGAATTAACTTGAGCCTTAAGCCTTTTTTTTTTTATCATTATCCTTAGAAGTTGTGTTCGAGCTAAAATAAAATATTGTTTTTTTACTACAAAAAATAACTGAGCCAATTATAAAATATTTACACCTTACCTTGGTTATCTTGGGAATTGCTATGTACTTGTCATTATATTGGGAAATGTGGCAGATGCTTAACCGAAAATAAAGAAAAGAGAAAGGAAAGGAAAGAAAAAAAAGAAAGAAGCAAATTTTGTGGAAAAAAAAAAAAGAAGAGTAATACCATTGGAAAAGCCAAAGGCTAAGAAGAAACAAAAAAGAAAATAGAAAAATGAAGGATGTGATATTATTAAGGCTTATCAAAAGGAGAAGGGATATGTTTCGAACAAAGATGACATTCTTGGGATAACTTCTTTTGAATTCTCATAACCCTTCACTTCTTTAACCTTCACTCACAACCACAAAAAAATCTGATTTGATCTTGGGGATTGTAACAAGTACATATGCAAATTGGAATGAGAGATGCACCAATTGCATTACTTCTATTGCTCTAACATTCTTTCATGAGATTATACGAAAGTCGTTTTATTTGAATGATGTCTTTCATTTTAAAAATATGAGTAAATTTTGCTTTGACTATGTAATTTTTTCCTCACATAACTTATAAGTAAAACAGTCACTATAAATAGAGGTTTTCTGATCTGAGAGTGCAACTTTTGTGAGATTTACATCAAAGCTAACATTGAATAGTTAATAGAGATGTGGATGTTGTTTGATAAATTTCTTGAATTTAATGATCATCATACACACACAAACGAGTTTTTAATGTTGATGTGAATGTAAATACTCTTACATAGCGTTTAAGTCTACAATGTGTAATTTTGTGTGAGTTAATTTGTGAGTGGATATGACATATCTTTAATGATACTTTAATTAGAGAGGAATAATATGTTCTGGATAGATAAAATGAAGTTTATAGGTATCTTTGCTGAAAATCTTAATGAAATAAAAATCGTTCACTAGGGATAACCTAGGGGTTTAGTGACTTATTGCATCTGCTAAATGCAATCATAATTGCCTACAAAAGTGGTTTTGTGATTTAGATTTATTTGTTTGCATTTGATTTTTTTTTATACTTTAAATTCCCTTGCATAGTATATAGAGCATATTTGATTTAAATTGCTTTGCATACACTTAGAGAAATTTGGGCATATATGGAATATGATTTAAGGCCTTAGCATGTTAAGTTTTTGGGTCATAGTAGGTATTCTTAGGACTTAGTGTTTGTTTTAATTTTTAATTAAGAAGAAAAAGAAATAAAAAGAAATTTTTTTTCCAACATA